ATCAGATGGCAGGTTCCACCTACACTCAAACAACGTAAGAATCCAATTCCATAAAGCTGTAGCAAAGGAGCAAGAGATCAGTAAATGGTGACAATCCTCATTTTGAGATTTACAAAGAACACACCAATTAGGTGATAAGCACCAATTTGGTCTTCTCTTTTGTAGGTTTTCAAAGGTGTTAATCTTACCATAATAAACTTCCCAACAAAAAACAACAATCTTTGGGGGAATGGGCCTAGTCCAAAATTCTTTAACTGGGAAATTCTGAGGTGTAGAAGTGGAATAAAGGGACTTGAAGAAAGAGGAGCAAGTGAAAAAACCTTGCAGGTTAGGGTTCCAAATTCTTGTGTCAGGTTTGAGGGGTTCTAAACAAATAGCCTCAAGTGAAGACAATGAAACTGAAACACAAGCACTTTCATCATCACGTAACCCTCTACGGAAACCAAAATCCCAGTTTAGGGCCTCGGAAGAATCTGAGTAGGAATCAAAACTGGAAACCGACTCTTCCTTATAAAGGGAAAAGGAGTAAAGAGAGGGAAAAAAGATCTTTAAGAGGTTGGTTGCCCACCCAAATGTCTTCCCAGAAAAGAGCATTGTGTCCAGAATTAACATCATACTTGACCATATTGATAAAATGGGGTAGAATTCCGTGAATGGCCTTCCTGGGTGTTGCATGAGTTGCCTGTCGAGATACGCCGACATCCCAACCGTTCTGCATACAGCCGTGAATACTATTCACCACCTTGTGCCACAACCTCTCTCTCTCTAACGGCCATCTCCAAAGCCACTTCCTTAGTAGAGCTTCATTCTTAATAACTTGATTTCCCAATCCTAATCCCCCTTCACTCTTGCTGACTATCTCTCACCTAATCAAATGATACTTCTTCTCTTCCCTTGGCTTCCACAAGAAATCCCTCATCAGCTTTACTAGCTTCTTGGCTTCCCTGGAGGGTATCTTGAATACAAAAAGAAAATAAACCGGAAGACTAGCAAGTGTCGCCCTAATCAAGGCCACTCTACCCCCTTTCGAAATTTAACTTTTTTCCAAACAGCTAGCCTCTTTTCAAACTTTTCCACAATTGGATGCCAGAACCGACTTTCTTTTGGGTTAGCTTCTAACGGAAGACCCAAGTAGGTTAAAGGGCAATCAAACATGGAACACTCTAGAGAACCTGCTATAGCCTCTACCTCCCAATCTTCCAAATTGATTCCCACCACACAACTTTTGTCAAAGTTAATCGATAGGTTTGATGCAGACTCAAAGAATTTAATAAGATCTTTTAGGTTCCTCACTCTCCCTAAGTCTCCTCCTTCACAAAAGATGATGATATCATCAACAAACTGAAGATGAGTCACCGTGACATTATTCCTACCCATCCTCCAACCTCTTATTAGTCCTTCCCAATCTGCTTTAGAAATTATTCTACTGAGCACATCTGCCACAAGTGTGAACAAAAAGGGGGAAAGAGGATCTCTCTGCTTGAGCCCCCTTCAAGTTGGGAAGAAGTCCTTGACCCCTCCATTAACTAGAACTGAAAATTGGCAAGATGTTATGCATCCACTCACCCACTTGTTACAATTCCTTCTCTGAAAATTAAATCTACTGTTCCTATAGTAGTAGTTGCGACTGTTGCAGAAGACCCCAAGTAGAGCACCACTTCGTCGTCATTCAACCTTCTGCTTTCCTTGAACCCCTGCAATGTGTTACATGCACGAGTGGAAGCCCTAGAGTCAATACACCAGGATGTAGAAGTGACCAACATATTGGTCTCTATGACAAGAGATTTGAAATTACCTTCTTTGTTCTTGCGGTGTTCTAGATACTGAGGACAATTCCTCTTCCAGTGTCCAGTCTGTTTGCAGAAGTGACATTCATCCGATGACTTGTCTCTTTTCTGCCATTTCGGCTTGCCTGCTTTTTTCTGAGGCCTCTTCTTGCCCTTCCTCTTTCTCTTTCCAGATTTGCCACCTTCCACAAGCATGGCTACCGGCTTATCCTTCTTTATCAGTTCTTCAGCCCTCTGCAACATATTGCTGAGTTCTTGAAGGCTAACCTTTAGCTTGTTCACTCCTTTCTCCTTAAATGATATTTCTTTGGATCCGAAGGATAATGTAAAGACTATTAATGTAGTAAGATGGTTTTGAAACAAAAGGAACTTTCGTATTGTACAAGCATCGAAAGTTTTTGCCAGGTTGAAGATGGGTTTATATGGGATTGAGCCAAATAAGAAAGTGAAGAAAACAAAGGACCTCAACAAGAGAATTAGAGGGGATTTCGTTAAAGTGAAAGCATGATCTGAGTAGTGGATAGGAGTGGTGGGAAGCCTGGATGGTTTTCTGTTTTGGTCTGGATTGGGTTTTATTGTTTGTTTGAGGTATGGGTTAAACTTGTACAGATGTAAGGTTTTTTGTGTTTTTCAATTGGGGGCTTCTTTCTTTGTTGGGTTTTGATTAGTTGGTGGAGGTACATTTATTGGTTTTTTCTATGCTTGTTTGTGATTCCTTATTACCTCTTGTGTATTTATTTATTTTCTTCTCTGATTATATTTTTTATTTATTGTAAAGAAAGAACATGAAGGGGTGAGGGTCCGAATTCTGGTTTTAGAAGTGTCTAACAAAACTCCCTCCATGAAACAATGGACGCCAATAACTTGATCATAGTTAGAGTTCCTAAATAGCTTTTCATGGGGAAGATAATATTGCTCTATTTGCCAACCCAACATCCTACCCGTTGTTAGTTAGCTATGAATACTTCCAACAACGTAATGCCACATATTGTTTTGCTATCTGGGCAATCTCCACAACCATTTCCTAAGAAGAGATCAAGAGCAGAATTCCTAAGCACCAATCTCCCCACTCCAAGACCACCTTCCTTTTTAACTTTTGCACACCATGTCCCAGTTCATGAGGCGATCTGTTTTAGAACCCCCTCGTAAACTTTTTAAATATTTTTGCCACTGACACAAGGATCCAAAAAAATTGACGAGTAGTCATCAGCATCTAATCCTTGTCCCAACTCTATGGAGTTGGCTACGTAGGTGTTTGGCATCAATGCCTTTTCCTCAGAAAACGGTGCCATATCAGAAAGCCGTTTTTTGGGAAAATGTCTGCTGTTTGGTTAGCCGTTTTTCTGAAAAATGTTTTCTCAAACCATGCCTTGGAAATCGGGAAAGGTCTGAGAAAATGCCCTTTTTGGTGTTTTCCCGTTTTTTCTACTGTTTCTAGCAACAGTATACATGGCATTTAAAAATGCCTATGTGGCAGCAACAACAATGGTATCAAATAGAAAACCAGAGAAAACAGCATGCTTATGCAGCATCATTTTCTGAGGAAATGCCTCTCGTAAACGGTATTGGTTCCAAACACTGCATACATGAATCCTGTTTTGCTATTCCGTTCTGTTCAGTGCCATATCCATTGTTGTATGGGCACTTACATAATTTCTTATTACTTCCACCCAAGTACTTTTTGGCTTGCTCCTAGCTTTTCTAACCATTCCAACTTATAACAAGTCATTTATTTATCTCCTATTGGAGCTACTCATAGGTGATCAAATGAGATGGGGTAAATTAGCTGAGTGGATTTGGTATGGTATCTAATTTCTTGGTTACATTAACAACCAACACCCTAGCGATTTCTTCCTCCTCTTCCTCCAAATTAATTCTGGCCAAGCAACTTTTTGTCAAGGTAGCTTTTTGGTTGAAATCAATACAAAGCACTTCATCAGAGGTATAAGATTCCTTGTGCCTTGTGCCCCATTATCCTGATACAGAATAATTAGATCATCTGCGAACTGCAAGTGAGTCACCTTCACTTTGTCTCTTAGGGTTCTTTTGTACTTTCTTCCTTAAGGCTGCCTTAGCTTTATGTTATAAACTTTTTTTTTTAATACAATCTCTTTGTTAGTAGGCTAACCAAAAGGAAATGTGAAAAATGTGAACAAGCATATTCATTCCCCAATGTCAATTGGCTAGGTCAACATTCTACCTGGTCCTTCTACATCCAGCAGAGCATAGAAAATCATTAGTCAGTTACATAGTTTTCAAGGCGCCAAGGCAAGGCTAGGCGACTGGGGGGCGCCTTGTCGCCTAGTCGCCTAGGCGATGGATTTTTTATGTTAAAAATATAGATCCTAGGGTAGTTCCCTAGGTACCATAACCATACACATCTTTAATAAATATTCATGATTTTCATAAGAAAAGTATAAATTTCATATTAAAGTATAGAAAATCAACATATTCATGAGAAGAAAAGGAAGAAGGAAAATAAAATTCAAAAAATATMGGGGCTGAACCCTTATTTTTGTTATAAGAAAAGAAGAAAATAAAAAGTATCAGTAGTGGTAGTAGTAGTAGAAGAAGAATATATGGAAGAGGAAAATGTGCTGATTAGATAAAATTTTAAGTTCTTCCTTACTTATTGGTTCAGGTTTTTAAGTCTTTAAGGGTTCAATACAGCATTTAGCAATGTTTGTGTTGATTAAACCCTAATAAATAAGAAAATAATAAAAATAAATTAGTATATAAACACACAAAATGATTATTTTAGTTTAATAATGTCTATTTTATAATTATAATCTCAAAAAAGAATGAATAAAACAGTATTTTATAGTAGGAAGTATAAAACTGCTAGGCGATTAGGTGAGGCGAGCCTCAAAGGGCGCCTTGTCGCCTAGGCGTCGCCTAGGCATCGCTTTGACAACTATGGTCAGTTACTTGATGCCAATTGGGTTAAACTTTTTAGCTTAGTGTACCAAACTTGAGGTAATGGTCGGTCTATAAGTCTATAACACTAATGACACTATGGGTTCAGTCATACATGTTGATTAGGCATTATTCAGTACTCCTTAACAGTATAATGACTATTATGCATTATGAACTACTTAGCCATTATAATGGTATTATTAAATGCATTGTTATGTAACATCTGTCATAGCAATTGAAGAGCTTATATAAATAACTAACTTGTGACTGACTTATGCTGATATTTGATTTGGACAGGTTGGACAATGATGCACAAAGTTGGGAAGTCTGTTCATGCAAAGAAAAGGTAAGGCATAAGTAATGTTCACCTCTTTCCTGATGTCTTTCTTTTTTTCCCCTTACTTTTCTTTTGTTTTCTTCTTTCCTTTCTCTATTTGGGGCCGTTACTCTATCTCCTGCTACTCATTTCTTTTTTGGGAGGTAGTGCATGACTTTGAATTTATTAATCATTTTAATATATGTTAACACACTTCTTCTTCTGAGAAGGCCAGGAAATATAAGAATTATTCTTTTGTTTAGGCACATCACATTCAATACCTGGATGTTAATTTTAAGGTCATAATTCTACTAAAAAAATGTTGGGACAGCCTAGCCACAGGTTCCATTTCCTGCTATTTTGAGAAAAGGGCCTTTTGGGAGCTCCAATCAACATGCAGCCCTTCCCTCTTTCTTATTGCTATTCCCTAATGTTTCTACAATCTATTCTTTTGTACAGGAGGGGGGGTCTCAACTATTGAAGATTGGTCTACCAGAAAATCTTGTTCATATCTAAAGCTATTGGCGAAGAACTAAACTACATACCCTAATTATCAAAAGAAAGTGGAAAAAATGATTGGTTGAGTTGTTTTGGGGACTTCTGGGGCATGAAATGTAACTAGAAAAAATGTTGGGTTAGGTGGCAGACTCTAACCTAAAAAGTGGGATGTTTGGCTTATTTGTATATAATCCAATATCTATTACCCTCTAATGAAAGTTCATAGTACCAATATATATTTCATTCTAATAAATGTTCATAGTGACCGATAAGACGTAAAGGAAATAGGAAAAGCATGGCCCTATTCAGAACATCATTTTCTAGAATGAAAGTGCTTGCAATTTCTGAAGTGGGTGTCTATCAAACTCGCTTTGCTGTTTTATGTTCACTGCCTTTATACTAGAACATCATGGGTGGCTAATTATGGCTGCACTTGACAAGGTGAATCATGTAAATTTTTTATCCGTTCAGGTGCATTAATATATATTTCTGGATGCTAGACCTTTTTTTCACTTGATTCTGATTTCATATTGGATGTTCTTTTGGGATAATTTTTGGAAATGGAGAAAAAACAATGGAATCTTCTCTCTCATCTATTTTTTATGAAGTTAAGCGTTATAGTGATCAAAAGAGAAAGAAGTAAGTAAAACAGTTGGCCAACCTTCTCAATGTGGTAGGGAAGGGGCTCTGGCATGGAAGGAGTCCTAGAGCTCTGAAACGAAAGGAGCATGATTATATGTTGCATTTAGTGTTTGGTATACATTCTGGTTTTTGTGTGTTCACAACTATATATGTTCAATTTTTATGATCAATAACCATTTGCTTTATTAATTAAAAACAATAGTTATGTACAGATTTTTCACTTGGTGTTCAGAGTGCATGCTGAAAATCATCTCTCCCTATGTGTTTTCTTACACTTATTTGTCACTTATCAGATTGGATATTGCTTATGCTGTTCATGTTGTAAGTCCCTGTTTTGGAACACTTAAAATAAGTACTTATTTGAATAAGTATTTATTTTAAGTGGTGGTACCACACAATAAGCACTTATTCGTGTTTGGCGAAAAAGCCCAGAATAAATGCTTATTTTGAAAATAAGCACGTAAAAAATAAGCCAAAATTGGGTGGCTTATTTTTAGTGCTTATTGGTTATGTTAAGTTAGAGCTATAATTATCATTTCCACAAATTTAAGTACTTATAGATGTGGTTCTAAATGTCGATACAGGCTGATATGTCGAATGGGGCATATCGACCTATGTCTTTGGGCGCCTTTAGTTTTTTTTCCAAACCTGTTCAGGGGGGTTGATACAAGGCCTTTCTACCCCCTGAAATAGGTCAACCCCTAAAGTGTTGCCTAAAGTGCCATATTGGTGACCCACTGATACGGTCCAATATGTTGCAAAATTTAGAACCTTGCTTATGAGATAAGTGATGCACGACACAGTGCAACACAAATAAACACTTATGTGGTTTGAGAAAAGACCTCCTAAACACTAATAACTTCCATGTCCTTGGTCAGCTATCTGTACATCCATTTTTTCTTAGCAAATTTCTATATTTCATTTTCCTCCTTTAGTAGCCAGCCTATAACAAGTTTAGAATCTTCCTCAACAGTCAACTTGTTAATATTCAACTCCTTTGCTCTTTTAATCCCTTCCATTTACTGCCATAACCTCAACTCTAAGTGAATCACCACCTATCCCAGATGGACTCGGGTTACCTTTTCTACTTCCACTAAAATTCAATTTAGTGATACCAGCAACCTGTGGAGAGCATATTGGACAAGCTACGGACTTAAGTGGAACTGAATCAACCACTTCCTTCCAATTCTTGAACGGATCATTTGAGGAAATGCTTTCAAATAGTTCTAAGGATTTCACCCAATGAACCACCCTAACAATGATACTTTTAATGGTGGATGCTACACTTCTTTCCTTTTCAGAGAATATTCTTCTGTTCCTTTCTTCCCATATTGTCCAACAAATAGATGACCTTTGTACATCTCTACAGAATTTTACCTCTTTTCTTTAACCCTCTAACAGAGAGGGAGGTAAACAAACTTTGTACATCTGGAGGGGGGACTCCATCTGCAACCAAATAGAGAGAAACCAATCCCAAATCACAGAAACAAATGGACATAATATTAAAAAGTGATAGCAACTCTCACCATTAGCTTTACAAAGAATGCACCAATGTGGAGATAAATACCAATTAGTTTTCTTCTTTTGGAGAAGGTTACAAGTGTTACACCTTTCTAGAATAGTTTCCCAACAGAAAGCTCCTATTGTAGGAGGAATTGGTTTACCCCAAACTTCCTTTATTGGAAAAGATTGCCCCAGGCCAACAGAAGACTGTGAGAGAGCTTCTAAAGAAAGAGACACAAGAGAAAGCACTAGAGAGAGACAAGATCCAAATCCTTTTATCCCATTTTGATGGGTCTAAAACCACCCCATCCAGGATTTTATTTAAAGCTAATACAAAGTGCAATTCAGAACCCCTTAGATTCTCTTCTAAAACCCAAATTCCAGTCAAACCCAAAAACAGAATTGGAAGGAACTAGAAGAGAAGATATGAGCTCATTTTTAAATCTTGAGAGAGAAACTAAAGAGGTAAATTGTTCTTTCAGAGCCGACTCCCCCACCCAAACATGTTCCCAGAACTTCACTAGGTTACCAGAGCATAACTCATAACTGATGAAAGGCAAGAATGACAGAAAAATGGCTTGAACTGACTTCCAACTAGGGATGCAAACAGATTGGATCGGATTCGAATCAGGGTATATCTTAATCTGATCCGACACTGTTCATCATATATACATGCTTTTTTTTATAAAAAATAAATAATATAACAAATTTATAAAAATAAAATAAAAATATATTTATAAATAAATAAATAACATATATATTATATTTATATTTATAAGTATATAATATATGTTGGATTGGATAGGGGGTTGATCCGAATCCGATCCGATCTGAAGATCAAAACAAGGGTGATCCGAATCCGACCAAATGGGATCATATCTTGATCCGATCCATTTGCACCCCTACTTCCAAGGATAGGTTCTTGTGGCCCTTGCCAACACTGCAGTGTCTCAGCCATTAACCGCTTGTTTGTGTATGCATACAATTACCTTAGCCCAAAGCTTATCCTTCTCTGTTGTTAATCTCCATAACCATTTTCCCAACAATGCCTCATTCTTTTTTTGAATATTGCCCAAACCTAGTCCCCCTTTCACTCTTGCTCCTATTAACCACTTCCCATCTAACTCTATGCCTCTATGGTCTTTTTTCTCCTCCCTTGATTCCCACAAGAAGTCCCTCATCAATTTCTCCAATCATCTACTCACTCCCTTGGTATCTTAAACACTGACAGGAAATATATTGGTAGACTAGCCAAAGTGGACTTGGTCAAAGTAATCATGCCCCCCAAAGAGAGGTAATTCTTCTTCCATGTGGCTAATCTCTATGTAAATCTGTCCACCACTGGCTCCAAAAGTTGGTTTTATAAGGATTATCCCCTAATGGCAACCCCAAGTACTTCAATGGCCATTGAGAAACCGTGCACCCCAAAATGTTTGTGTTTTGAATTTTCTCATTCTCAGCCATATTAATACCAAACACACAACTTTCAGTTTGACATCCTTTCAAAGAGATTTATTGCCAATTTTTATTGGTCTTGTTTCTGCTGCCTAAGAAAGGTCGTAATTGTACTTCTACCTTATATTAGAACATCAAGCATCTTATGATTCTAACTCACATCATCATTATCCTCATCTCATCCCTTCTTTTTATCCCTTGTATATCTTGGATTTGGTTTGTCTAGCATGCTTTTTTCTTCTTTCTTTGGAACCCATTTCAAATTCAACATCGCTTCATTTCTCTTTTGATTTCTCCCGTTCACTGCTGCCACAGATGAGGAAGACTGATAAACCCACTGTTTGGTCTATCATCGCTTGAGTGGAACCCTCTCTCACATGGTCTTTTAATTTGCCACGTGAGTGGTTTAGTTTCATATTATGCCAGAAGTTGGCCCTTCTGGTTGGATGGGTATGGACAGAACCAGTTCACTTGATCCTGCGTTGTCATCTTCCTCTTTCCCACTTACAATCCATGACATCTTGGTCAGCTCGTTATTAACTTTCTGAGCAACAACCTCAGCTTAAGATTTGAACTCTACCATTTGATCTCCATTCTTTGGCTTAGATGTGCCTGCCAAATCTAAGTGATGATAGACCAACCCTCCTATTAACTTTCGGTTTCCATTTCCACATTACTCCATCTACCTTCCCATTTCTCGTCTCCTACCATGACACATGGCCTCAACATTGCCACGTCATAGTCGTATGCGTACCAGCTTTCCTTCTAGAGTGTAACTCCTACAAAGGATGCGAACTACATTCTAAACATCATTCCTTCTGTGTGAACCTTGATCATTTGAGGAATCAATTCAGGTTGTGTTCCAACCAGTGTTTTGGTTACAGCTGTAAATTTTCGCTATCAATTTGTTTTAGAGCTCATCTGCAGAGTGTCACCATTATTTCAAACACCTCCTCTGTCCATAGGTGAGAAAGTAGGCTAAACCCTTGTATGTTGTATCTCGACAGCTGTCTTCTTATATAGTATGATTTTACTCATTAGACACCACCTTTTTTTTTTTGATAAATCATTAGACACCACCTTTCCATCATTATCATTTCCTCTTCTGTCTCCATTGAAACTACTGCAACTTTCACTTCATCTTCTACTACTTCCAGTATTGCCTTCTTGCTTCATAAAAGGTGCTATCACCATAGTTCCTTAAAATTGTAATTTATTGACAGCTTCCCCCACCTTATCCCAACCAAGGTCCAAAGTATTTTTACCATTTATTCTATTTATAAGCTTGGATACAGATATGTGTCATGATACGCTTTGGATACACATGGATATAGTGGAAAGAAATGGATATGCTTGGATACATTGGGGAAGCTCTTACAAATCCACAACTACATCACTAATAATATCTAAAACTGATATAATTATGAATAAGTTATAAACATATAAGAAATGCAAACTTTTATAGTTTATATGAAGTGATACTTTACAATCCACAACACTGGAAGTCTAGAAAAGATGCACATCATACAATAATTTTACTAATAATACATCAGTGTTTGGGCTTTCAATCTACTAAAAGTTCACTACAAGACGCATTAAATTATTATTGGATCAATGAGTTTGATAGATTATTGATAAGTCCATCTTATAGTTCTTCCTTACCATGAAAATCATAAAATAAATGTTCTTTTATTTTTCAAAATTTTCCTAAAAATTAAGATAAAAATTCATTATTGGCATAAAATATTGTTAGATCAATGAGTTTAAAGATCATAGATAGATCCATTTATAGTTCTTTCCTGCAATGAAAATCATTTATAAATTTTATCTTAACTTATTGATCCACTCAAAGGTAGTTATTTGTTATTCTTTCTTCTCTTTGTAGAAAAAGTTTTCCTGTCTTGACCTTTGATTTATGGTGTTATTCCATTCCAGATTTCTGTTTGTGATAATTGGTCCACCCAAAAATACCTTTGAACCATAGAACTACTTCACCTGTTAACATTACCATTGCTTTGCTTTTCAAATATTTAATGATGGAACTCCTCTTGATATAATTTTCTCAAACACATGATTTTGCTTTTGCCCTGACTGTCTTCTTCCAACTGGTTACTGAGTGGAACTCACCTTCTTCCGTCTCTTCTTTATCCACATAGAGCCTTAACTATATATATTAAATTACAACCATACAATTTGATTTGATTCATTAGCTAGAACATGTTTCATTTTGTTTCTTAAACCCCTCAAAAGGTTGCCATCATTATCTCAGAACATGGATATGGTTGTAAAAGTTATGCAGCTCTTTTAGAAGTAGTTGAGCTGATATTTTTCTTCTGTGTTGGAGTAGATAGTCCTTTGTCTACTAGGTGCATCTTTCGTTTCATGTCATAATAAATTTGGGAAGAATTAATGTTTTGGAAATTTTTGGTTATGTCATGTTTGTTTATTTCTTTGCTGATTTTCTTGGGGATAAGCTTGTCACAGGCAATTATTTGTTGAGTTGCAAATGTCTAGTCTACCCCTTTAGGATTCCTTAATCAAATCCTTGATGGTATCAGAAATCGGAAGTAATGGTGTTTTCTCTTCTCGTGTGAATGGCTAATGCAATGGTGCTGCAAGTTAAACCTTTGTGATAGACTTGTTATTTTATTTTATTTGATTTTATTGCTTCCCTATAGCAAATCCTTTATGTATAGTCATTATTGTCAATGTTGTTACTTGTTAGTAGGCTTGTATTCCTTCTAGTTGTCTATGATTATTTTTTTTTACAATTTTCTAACTGCATGTAGTGTCTCTTCCTTTCTTTTCATTTTTTCTTTTATTTCTTTTTCGGCATTTCAAGGTCTACTTTTGCACGAACCCTTTGTTTGTTTACCTTCAACCTTATTCTTGGATTACATCTTGGTTGAGTGATGTTCACTTTTGCACTGAATCTACTTTTGTTGATTCACTAAACATATGCCTCTTAATATGGAGGAAGGTGAAGGCCATAGTGGCATATAGGTGATTCTAGGTGGTAGTGAAGTTCCTAGTTGCCTAGGCAAGTGCATACAATTTTACAAAGTAAAAAAAAATTAATCCCCTAGTTTTGTATACTATCATGCATATAAATTGAGAAAATAACAGTGCACATAAATTGAGAAGGGGATGGAGATATAGAGATTATAACTATTTTTAGATTATCTGCCAATGTGAGCTTGTCTTACACTGCTGCTCCCAAGCTTGGAAAAAGCAAGAGGGTTGCGTCAGGTAGGCAGCCAGCACTAGATGTTTTCCATACCCTTATGAATATGGATCCTGATTTGTCTTTTTGTGCTCATGCTAAAGCGTTGCTCTAAATAGAATGGATCGGCAAAACAGAATTCATGTAGTCAGATATAGTTGGGATAAGGCATGGATGATGATGATGAATAACTATTTTTACATTATGCTTGGTTGTCCTGATTTAACTTGTTTCATTTTTTTTCCTATTTGGTGTTTTAATTATCTTTAGAGCTTTCTTCTTATCAGTTGAAACTTCTATCTTTTAACTGGTCTTATTGCTTGTTCATTTTATAGGAAGTCTCTGCGCAGTTAGAGACATTAACAAGTCCTCAAGTAGTTGAACCAGTGCTCAGTCCCATCCCGAAGGATAGGGATGATGGGGTCAACGAAGATACCAATATCAATCTTGGTGAGCACTTGCCCGTTGTTCAAAGGTACTTTGTCTCCCTTTTTATGCTATTGACTGATATATTCTCTTCATACTTTTTTGTTAGACTTTGGCAAGTGTTTTCCTAGTAGAATGTGTTAGAAAATCAGAAGAAGAAAGAAGAGAGAAAATAATGATTTGGAGTCAAAAGAATAGGTTGGTGGTACCAACTCTAGTATTTATACTAGGGCGACCCAAAATATAAAAAAATAAAGAAAAAATTACAAAAGTGCCCCTACAACACTAAAGAATAAACAGATGATAGTTTTAACACTCCCCCTCATGTTGGGACATGGATGTCAATCATGCTCAACTTGTCACACAAGTCATTGTGTTTCAAGTGATGTAGACCCTTTGTAAAGATGTCCACAAGTTGCTCCTCAAAACTAACATAGGGAGTACACGCTTCCCCATTAACAAGTTTCTCTCTAATAAAGTGGATTGTTGCAATATTGATGGCAACCTTGTTATCAAATTACAAGGACAAGGGCTATCAATAGAAAATCCTAACTCACCCACCAATTTTTTTATTCACATTATTTCGACCACTCCTTGGGACATTGCTCTGTACTCAACTTCAGCACTGGACCTAGCCACTACATTTTGTTTTTTGCTTCTCCATGTGACTAGGTTCCCCCCACCCACAAAGGTACAATAACCACTGGTGGACTTTTTGTTATCAATTGATCCGACCCAATCAACATTTGTGTACACCTTAACCTTCAAATGCCCATTTTTTCGGAACAATAAACTAGCCCCTGGAAACTTCTTGAGATACTTGAGGATTCTTTCGACTGCCTCTAAGTGAGTGGTTTTAGGGGCATGCATGACCTTGCTAAGAACACCCACGACATAAGCAATGTCTGGTCCGGCCATGGACATGTACAAGAGCCTTCCGACAAGCCTCTGGAATTTCTTCACATCTTTGATAGTCTCACCACAACAGTCACTTGACCTGTGATTTGGATCAATGGGAGAATTGTTTGGCTTTGCTCCTAGTTTTTTTTTGAATCTTGTAATAGATCTAGGATGTATTTTCTCTAAGAAATGAAGATCCCCTTTTGTGAGCGGGCAACTTCAATTCTGAGAAAATACCGAAAGGGATCTAGATCTTTCACCTCAAACTGAATCGTTAGGAACTCTTTTAGTTTCTGAATTTCAACTTTCCAATCACTAGTTATTACTATGTCATCAACATACACTACCGGTGCTGCAATTTTTCCTTCCCCTTTTTTCTTAAACAATGTATGATCAATTTGGCATTGTTTACAACCTATGTACTACATAGCTAAATGAAACTTGCTGAACGAAGGCCTTGGTGATTGTTTTTGTCCATACAAGGACTTCTTTTGCCTGCACATTTTTTGTTCACTGCTTTCCGCATGAAAACTAGGGGTTGCACCATATACACCTCTTATTTAAGATCACCATTCAATAAAGCATTTTTGATATCCAACTGATGAAGACCTCAATCAAGGTTAGTGGCTAGAGAAAAGAGGACTCTGATAGAATTCTTATTAACCACTGAGACAAGTGTCTTTAATAATCTACTTCGTACACTTGAGTAAACCCTTTTGCCACTAACTGGGCTTTATACCTTTTCACTGTGCCATCAACTCTGTACTTACCAATATTTGAACCCTAATAGACTCATACATATGGTTCAACCCCAAAAGAAAAGCCAAAACCCGTTGTTGGGGAATTAGAGACTTGTAGACCTTAGCATCCACCTCACATTTCGAATCCATATTCTGATAGTGATCCAACTCCTTCCAAATTGAGGTCAAATTTGAGGAGTATATGGAGAGATTCCTTTCCCACACTTGCAGGTTGAGGATGCAGCTTGCAACTGATAGGAAAGTTCATATCAAATCCCCCACTCACTCCACTGTTACTAGAGGATACACCGGAGACAGCTGAATCCTTAGAAGACTTGCTGGGAAAGGTCTGATTTCACTATTCAGCCACAAAGAACAGTAGAAATAAGAGAAACTGTCACAAGAACGCTTGGTCTCACACAAACCAGCACTATAGAATCATTCCTTTCTGTTCACACCAAAGAATCACACACTACCACATTGCTGAAAAAATTCCAGAAGTAAAAAACAGTCTATTCCTGGTCTCGACCGCCCCTACGAGTATCACTTTACCCTATTTTAGGCCACACATTCACTGCAATCACCAGAAACAAATCATCCAGACCTATACAGCCACCCTACCTGGGTACAAAAGGATCACACGATTCACATGGAACTGAAAAAACAACTTCACAGGTCACAGCATCTATTCACCCCTCTTACAGATGATTTCTTGGTACACAACCAAGAAAAAAAGGGAAAAATCACAAAGGAACTACTTACAGTTCAGCCGATGCACTTCCCTCTAGATTTGATCCAAAAAGAAATGAAGTCTGAAGAAAGTCAGATTTGATCCCAAAATTGATGCTCTGATACCATGTTTTCTTAGTAGTAAGTGTTAGAAAGTCAGAAGAGAGAAAAGAGTAAAGAATGATTTGGAGTCAAAAGAATAGTCTGGTGGTGTCAGCTTTAGTATTTATACTAGGGGCAACCTAAAATATAAAAAAATAAAGAGAATTACAAAAGTGCCCCTACTGCACTAAAGAATAAACAGATGACAGTTTAACAGCAAGGAATCTTGCACTAATTACTTTTTTGCTGATCATTGAATTGTTTTTCATGTAGTGGGCCTAGTGGTTCTTATTTATTATATGCTTTTTAAAAGGTATATGCCATTGTTTTCTTCTTTAGGGAAATTGGGCATGGTTCGAGTGGTTTGCATACTGAAGTTGAGATCTTGGTTCCCCCAAAGGTATTTGTGTTTTTATCTACTTATCTTTGTATCTTCTTGTAAACTAATGCGGTGAGTAATTGAAAAAAGATTCATTCGATGCTTAATGTTATATTTATCCCAGATGACTTGTAAATTTTGATTTGACATTTTTTGATCTTTTCATAATGCATCGCATCAGGATAGAGGGGAACCTGAAGGTAGGGTTGGCACAAGATGTATTGAAGAAGTCAGCATTGATACCCAGCAAGATCAGTTTCCATTGGGATTTCAAACTGATAGTGACGATAATGCATGTGTCATCTGTAAGCTTGGTGGAAAGCTCTTGTGGGTAACCCTACTTTGGTTTTTGTTGACTTTGTTTTTACTTGGTATCAAGTGTTGAAATTAAGATGAAGGCAAAAATTTTGCCTGCTATTAGCTTGTTATACTGTTGCGTTATTTGGTTGTTAACCTTCTATCTCAGACTTCATTCATTTTGCCTAGTTCAGTATGCAATGTATACCCTTACACCAGGTTTTATGACGAGTAAATATGCACGGGATTGCATATAAAAACTCAGTATTGTCACTACCATTGTTAACCTGTATTAAAAAGAAAGATTTTGCAGCTTAGATTTGGAAAAGGGGGTGGTGGCCTGAATTGAAAGGGGTGCTGAAAGAAACAGTGGTGAAAGAGGCAGCACTCAGCCTTTTTGTTTTCTAGACCAATAACTGAAACAGATTCATTAAATTAAAGATAGGGAGGTACAAAGAAGGGAGGGATAAACTCTCTTAGCTGTCCCATAAAAGAAGCAAGGTTACAACAAAACCCAAAATAATCGATTCCTTCCCATCCCTTGTTTAGCGAATGAATTGGAAAAGAAATTAGCCTCTCTCTTTACCCACTGAAAATAGACCTTCATTTCTTGTAATAGCCACCTAATTCTCCTCTTCTCATAAATGTAGCTCCACCACCCAACATCCTCTCTCTTTTACTAGCTTTGAATCCGCTTGAATTGCCAACTTACGGATTTACATGTCCTTAGCTTTCTGAATTCTTTCCAAGACAGCTAAAATTTCAGTCCTCAAAGAATCACCCACCCTAATTGGACCTGAGTAAAATGCAAAAATGCTACCTTCATCAATTTTGAAGACTCCTCCAATGCCTGAAGGACCCGGATTTCCTTCATTGCTACCATCAAAATTCAGCTTTAAAACACCTCCAAAAGGTGGGGACGAAATAGGCATAAGAGCCACCTTCATAGGAGCAGAATCAGCTACTTCCCTCCACTTTCTTACTGCATGACCAACTGGAATGTCCTCAATTAGTTTCAAAGACTTCACCCAATGAACCACTCTAATAGTAATGGCTTCAATTAAAGCATCCCTGCTTAGTTCTTTGACCAGCAAACAGCTGCCCATGTACACCTCCATAGAGTTTTACCCCTCTTCTTTGACCAGCTAACAAAGGTAGAGCTGTACAGGAAAATAGGCTTTGTACATTAGCCCCGGGGGGGGGGGGGGGGTTATACCTGCACCCAAACAACAAAAGAAACCATTCCTAAATTGAAGAGGTAATGGGGCAGGGCTAACATTAGTTGGGGGAAGGTTAGGTCTTTTTCTTTGTAGTAAATCACAGGTTTTAATTCTTTATAGAAAAATATCCCAACAAAAATCCCCAATCCTGGGCTGAATAGGTGTACTCCAAATCTCTTTTACATGAAAAGGCACTCCAGCACTATCACTCGGCTATGTTAAAGTTAGAAAGAACAAGGCACAGTAAAAAGACCAGAAGAATAAAAAGTCCAGATTTGGTTATCCCTTTTTGAAGGATCCAGGATCATCCTATCAAGACTGTGGGGCAGAGTTGAGACACTATCAATTTCAGACTCATGAAGGTCTCTTCTAAAACCCAAATCCCAATCTTAAGTTAGAAGGAACCATAGAAGAGGTAATGACCTCCTTACAGCTGGAAAGGGCATAAAGAGAAGGGAGTTGTGCCTTCAAAAGGTGAATTGCCTAACCAGAATTTGACAAGATTTCCAGAACAAGGATTATACCTGATAAATGGCAGGAAAGATGGAAGGATGGCATGAATGGTTTTCCATGGAGGTGCTCTTGTAAGCCCAACTAGAATTCCAGAATCCTACCCATCAGTTGCAAACCCATGAATACTTATTACCGCCTTTGCCCACAATTTATCTCTATCCATTGTCAATCTCCACAATCACTTCCCTAACAGGCAATGTTCCTCTCCTAAATGTTCCCAAGATCCAAACAACCAAACCTCTTACTTCTACAAGCCATCCCGACTTACTCTATAGTCCTTCTCCCATGGCTCCCATAAAAAATCTCTCCATCAACTTTTTCTGTCTCTTACTAACCCCCACTAGAATTCTAAAGACTGGCAAGAAGCATACATGTAGGTTAGCTGGTGTAGACCTAATTAATGCGATCCTACCACAAATAACTCTTCTTTCATGAAACCATTCTCTTTGTAAATCTTTCAATTACTGGGTTCATGAAATTACTATCTTTCAGATTAGCCCCCAGAGGCAGCCTCAAGTAAGTCATGGGTCATTGTGAAGCCACACAACCCAAAATTTCTGCTCCCTCTGAGATCTCCGTCTCCTCCATAATCAGTCCCACAAAGCAAATTTTACCAAAATTGATTTTCAAATTGGTGATTTGCTCAAAAGTTTCCACAACCAAATTAAATTTCTCACCCAACTAGGATTACCTCCTATGCAGAAAAGGATTGTATCATCAGCAAATAGTAGGTGAGTGATTGTCACCTCATCTCTACCCACTGTCCAACCCCTAATCAAGGGCAGCACTCCGACTTTATTGAGCTACTCTCTTGCAAACCCTTGGAAAGGTACCCTGCAAACCTTGAAGGCTTAGACACTTTCACTCCCTTCACTAGATTTTGGCTAGGCAATGGTAATCAAATTAGATTCTGGATTGGCCTCTGGTGGGGCAATAAAAAAAGCCCTCGTCTCCTTCCCTATTCTTGCTTGCCCATGATAAAACAAGCCCTTGTCTCCTCAACCATTCTCAGGGAAAACCAGATCCTCTCCTAAAACTTCATCTTTCATAGTTCCTTGAGTGATACAAAATTTTGGATATTTCTTTAGTTATAACCTCCATTTCTGATGCCTTCGTTTTTCCCCTCCACCCAAGATAAACTAATTTAGTCCTTCCCTCAACCCAACTGTCCAGTTCTCCACCAGTTCTTACTTTCATAAACTTTTAGCCAACCCCTCTCCTCCTTCCTTGACAAAAAAAAGGATTCGGCTCTCCTTCGTACTCCCAGAATTGCTTTTTTCCGCTTGTTTGGGAAGCAGCTCGTGGCAAGTTGAATACTTGTGATATCGTGTAGAAGAAGCTACAGGGACAATGCATCTCACCCCATGTATGTGTCTTATGCTATATAAATTGATTGGCCACCTACTTATTAACTGTTGGGTTGCATAAACTTCGGCATTTTTTTTTTTAGATTCAACTTGTAGTGGCAGCTATAGTTTCCCACCCCCTACTTCAGTTCGAGAGTTTGTTCAATGACACAACAACAGACTGGGAAAAAGAGGAAGATTTTTGGAAAAGCTACTATCCATGTCATGATGTGGGGCATTTGGGAAGAATGTGGTTCTAGAACTTGAAAGGATTAATGATAATTTTGGGGAGAAGAGGAGTTTCGAGGTCATTCCCAACACAATTAAAAGATTTAGACACCAAAATAAAAAAAAGCTAATTGTGCCAGTCTTTAAGGTTTTTGCTAGATTATGAGGAGCTGTATTTCGGGTTGAAGTTAACAAGAGGATGAAGAAGACAAAAAGAGTCGTGAAGAAAAATTGGATATTGGAAGCAATAATTGGATCTTAGAACTTGGAACTTGCATCTGTTTAGTAATTGCATTAGATGAAGTATGTGTATTTTGCTTCTACAACACCATTGGCCATGGATCTGTATTTTGCTTCTGCACTGGAGTGGGCAACAACATTCTGTTTCTTGCTTCTCCATGAAACAAGGTTGCCCCCCCCCCCACAAACGCACAATATCCAAAAGTGGATCTCCTGTCATCAACACATCCAGCCCAATCCGCATCTGTATACACTTCCAGTTTCATATGACCATGATTCTTGAAGAGTATACCTCTTCCTGGACATCTCTTTAAGTAGGCAAGAATCCTTTCTACTGCAAGGAGGTGGGTGGTCCTGGGAGAATGTATGTATTGACTGACAACACTAACAGCATAAGAAATATCTGGTTGAGTTAGGTAGAGATAAAGAAATTTCCCAACCAGCCTTTGGTACATAGCCCTATCCTTAAGGAGTTCTCCACTTTCTGCACTTATCTTATGGTTAGTCTCAATGGGAGTATCAACAAGTTTCACTCCTAACTTGCCAGTTTCTTCCAATAAGTCCAGAACATACTTCCTTTGGGAGATGAAAATACCATGCTTAGATCGAGCTACCTCAATTCTTAGGAAATAGTGTAACTTTCCTAGGTCTTTTACTTCAAATTATTTGTGAAGGTGCTGTTTAAGGGTTTCAATTTCACTAGTGTCACTTTCTGTTATCACAATGTCATTTACATAGGCTGCAAATAGAGTTAGGGAATGACCTGTCTTCTTAAAGAAGAGAGTATGTTTTGACTGAGCCTGTATGTATCCGAATTTGTCCAAAGCCAGTCTAAATCTATCAAACCAAGCTCTTGGAGATTGTTTTAGCCCGTACAAGTCCTTTTTCAAAAGGCAAACTTTCTTTCCTTCTTCTGAACTATAAAAGCCAGGGGGTAACTCCATGTAAACTTCCTTTTGCAAGTCTCCGTTGAGAAAGGCATTCTTAACATCTAGTTGAAATAGTGGCCAGGAGTAGTTTGCAACAATGGATAGAAGAACTTTGACAGTGTTCATTTTTGCAACAGGTGCAAAGGTTTCTGTATAGTTTATGCCATAAGTTTGTGTGAATCCCTTTGCAACCAATCTGGCCTTATACCTCTCTATAGTACCATCAACATTATATTTCACAGTAAACACCCATCTGCATCCAACAGGTTTTTTCCCTTCAGGTTGGTTAACTAGTTCCCATGTGTTCTTTTTGACAAGAGCTTCCATCTCTACTTACATTGCTTCCTTCCATTTAGGTATCAAAAGGGCTTCTTGCACTCTTCTGGGTATAGGAACAACAGAAATAAATGTCAAGTATATGACCTATAGGATTCTGAGAGACAATTATAGGAAAGGAACTTGGAGATGCAATGGGCAGTGGCTGAAGTGTAACGACGCTTCCCTTTACGAATAGCAATTGGAAGATCAAGGTCATCTGACTGTGGAGGCTGAGCATCTATAATAGTGGGGTCAACAGTGAGAGTAGTAGTGTTTGGATCTGGGGCTGCAGAAGATGTTGGAACTTGCCTGGATTGCTGTTGAGTACGAGAGTCAACTTGCCTCCACCACTTTTTGTGATACACTCTTAATTCTCTGCATTTTTAACAACCTTCACAACTCCCCCCTCAATATCTGGGACAGGTAAAGGAACTTTTGGGGCTGAAACTGAAATCCCTTCCTCACTATTCTCTCCCTGAGGAGAAGCCTTAAGATAGTAGGGCATATCCTCAAAGAAGGTGACATCCATGGACACAAAGCACTTTCCTGAAATTGGCTCATAACAGTAATATCCCTTTTGATTTTGTGCATACCCAAGGAAAATACACTTAGTGGCTTTGGGATCAAACTTGGAGCGATGAGGTCCAAGGATTTGAACAAAACAAGTACACCCAAAAGTTTTGAGGGTAATAGTGAATAGGTCCGTATCTGGATATAGAAGACTGAATGGGGTTTGCATGTTTAAAACTTGTGAAGGATCCCTGTTAATCAGGTACATGGTTGTACGGATTACATCCCCCCAGAAGCATATGGGAACATTAGAGTTGAGCATGACGCTTCTGACTACCTCTAAGATATGCCTGTTTTTTCTCTCAACAACCTCGTTTTGCTGAGGTGTGTGAGGACAGGTTCTCTGATGAATGACCCCATGATCAAGGAGATAGGATGCCAAGGGTTTTGCAAAGTATTCCTTGGCATTATCAGATCTAAGAGTTTTGATCTTGGTTTCAAACCGAGTTAGAACCATCTGATGGAAAGCCTGGGTCAGAGAAGGGACCTCATCTCGAGAGTGCATAAGGTAGATCCATGAAAAGCGGGTATAATCATCAACAAATAATAAGAAATATCTATACCCCCCTATGGTGGGAGTATGATATGGTCCCCAAGCATCGGTATGCACAATCTCAAAAGGAAGGTTGCTTCTTTTATTACTTAAAGGATAAGATGATCTATTGTGTTTTGCAAGCTCACAACTTTCACAATTTAACCCCGACACTTCTACTGACTCAAACAAGTTTGGATAAAGACTCTTCAAAGACCCAAAAGATAAATGACCTAAGCGGTTGTGCCAAAGTATAATCTTACTGCAAGACTGTGAAACAAACAATTTACCTACTTCACTCTGCTCCCCCTGTGAATGATGAAGCAGGTAGACTCCATTCATCTCACGGCCAATCCCAATCACCTTCGTCGTTTCCAGATCCTAAAAAATACACCGATCAGGGAAAAAGGTTACCGAACAGTTTTGATTTATAGTAATACTACTAACTGAAAGTAAATTAGCACTAAGCTTGGGAACATGCAAAACTGAGGATAGGGTGATGGTATCTGAGAATCCGATGTCTCCCTTGCTAGAAATTGGTATAAGAGAGCCATCGACAATGGAAACTTTGTCTCTCCTAGAGGATAAACAATAGGTGCTGATTAAACTAGATATGCTAGTCATATGGTTTGAAGCACCTGAATCTATTACCCAGAAAGATCTAGTATTACCTGGGACAAAAGCATGACATGCAGTAGCTCTTGTACCTGTATGAGGAAGGGCTGAAGTAGGCTGAGCTGGTGTAGTAGCTGAAGATCTAGAAATACCAGCTTCCTTTTCTAACTGTGTCAGTGCTGGAAGAGGATGTACTGTCAGTATTAGTTGCTGTATTAGCACTTCCCTTCTTGTTTCTGAGTCTAGTTGGCATTAGGTGCGGATGCAACTTCCAGCAGGTCTCCCTAGTATGTTTGGGCTTCTTGCAATCACAAAAAATATCTTTTTTGTCTTCCTTCTTAACTTCTTTTTCCTTTTCTCCTCCAGTTTTGAATTTTGTTGCTGCCAAGGCTGCTTCTGTGTTTAGGGTCACATTCTCCCTAGTGAGAAGTTGCTGTCTTGTAATATCAAAATATGAGTTTAGGCCGGCTAAGAACTCGAAAACCTTGTTTGTTTCAAGCAGTTTTCTATATGTTGCTGCATCCTTCTGGCTTTTCCCATTCAATGGTTTCTAAGTGATCAGTTTCATGCCAAAGGGATTTTAGGGTAGAAAAATATACTGTGTTTAGGGTCACACTCTCCTTTATGCTGTCCCAAATCTCCTTGGCTGTTTTTGCCCAGAGATGATTTCGGCTGATGTGGGGCTGTATAGAGTTGCATAGCCAGGTCATCACCAAGTAGTTCTCTTGAACCCATCTTGGGTGGGGTATATCCTCCTTGGCTGGTTCTTTTGTGTCTCCGGTTACATACCCTAATTTTCCTCTGCCTCCAATGGCCATCATTGCCGATTGGGCCTATTCCAAGTAATTTGTTCCATTAAACCTAACAGTGGTAATTTGGAACGTATTTTCAGTTATATTACCAGTCCCAAAAACTTCCCCTTGAGCTTTTACTTCACTTCCAGCCTTTTCCATACTAAGTAGATCTCAGAGTTCCAAGAAAAAGGCTATTTCTTTTAAGAAAAACAATCTGATCTCAGCAAAAATAAGTACTAGAACTCAGTTTTGGTTGATAGTTTCTCCTTAAAAACTATAACTTTAACAAAAAAATATCAGATATTAACAGTCCAGATGCTGGTTTCAGCCAAGAACAAGAGCCAAAAAGATATCTTTTTACAGTCCAGAATTTGATCTAGTGCAAACACAGTCGAATTCTTTCAAAAAGAAGGTAATCTCAGTCAAGGATTAACTCCTGGACTGTGCTCAGTCCAAAATTCACAGTTAAGATCAAGATCAGACCCCCCTTTTTTTTAGCCGATCCCTTCAAGAAAGGCTCTCAGTCAAGAAAGTCAAAGAAAGGTTCGTAGGGTTAAGAACAAACCCTAGGAAAAATCAGATTTTTTTCTGTCGTACCTTCTGAAAGAGACCAACTAATTTCTTACTACTGCTGTTTCAAGAAAGAAAGAGATCTTACCCAGAAAAACTCTGATCGCCTCCTTTGATCTTGATAAAAAATCCAATCTTGAATCTTCTAACCTTCTCCGATACCAACTTGGATGAACTAGAACTGCTGCTGTGTAAACTGAGAAGAGATACACAGGTTCGAAGAGAAGGAGAGAGAGAGAGAGAGTGAGTGAAAGAAGAGAGGAGGAAGAGAAAGAAGGGGTTCGGTTGTTGATCTCTGCCGCCCCATATTCTTTATTATTTTTAGCCTTTGATTCCTTATAAGAATAGGATAGAAATACATAAAGTCCTAATCCTAGTAAGGCAAAAATAATATGGATAAACATAATAAGGCCAGCCGGCCCAATCTTAAAAGAAAAAAAATAAAATAAAATAAAACAACTAGGAAATAACTAGGTGTGGGTATGGAACCATACACACTAGAGCCTAAGTGTGGGTATGGAACCACGTACTCGTGACTTGGTAACTATTTCTTCAATATACAATTATATAAAGTTTATAATTAATAAATTCAATACTTTATATTTATATTGATTTATTATGAATGTAGAAGTTAAAAGATAATTAATTTTTTCAAAACTTTTTAAAATATTTTCTTTATTTTAAGACAATAAATAAAGTGGATTAAATCTGAAACCAATTCAGGACTGTCATATCTGTTTTCTTATTGGATTTATATTTGAAAATTCAATGATCAGATTGGATTTGGATTTGCATAGATCTGATTCAAATCCTACCCTATTATAGCTATACCCTTGTGTATGCATCTTGCTGAAAGCTGATACTATTCCATTGGAGTTGGCTACAAATATCCTACTTTGTCATTCCACTTTCAAATATGGTACTGTCACGATATGACATGAAAGGGCAAATTGAAAATGCTTCTGTTGTGTTGAGTTGTGATGAAGTTCCTTTATTTTCAAATTTGTCAGTTATGGTTGTCTTGTTGACATTGGCTCATAATGGTTTTTCTTGGAAGTTCTTATTTTGAGTTCCATTTCTTTTTCCTTTATAATTTTTATATTTTGGTGTTTGGGGCTAGATGTTTTTCACTGCTTTATCTGTATCAGGTGCTGTGATGGCAAAGGGTGTAAAAGGAACTTCCATCTCATGTGTCTTGATCCTCCCTTGAAGGATGTTCCAGCTGGGAATTGGCACTGTATTTCATGTGTGAAGAAAAAGATTGAGTATGGTGTGCATGCGGTATCTGATGGAGTGGAATCAATTTGGGATGCCAGAGAAGTGGATATTTCAGATAATGATGGTAGTATGCATGCGCAGATAATTTTTGGAATATCTTCTATGAATTGTTTGCTAAACTCCAAAGTTCTCCCTTCCTACTGTGTTTTAAATTTTGCATATAGGGCTGTCGGTGGTAATTATTACTTGTGGTGCTAGGGTTGCAGAGGCAGAAGCAATATCTTGTTAAGTACAAAGGGCTTGCTCATGTTCACAACCGTTGGGTTTCAGAGAGTGAGCTGATTCTTGAAGCTCCGATGCTTGTTGCAAAATTTAATAGAAAAAATCAGGTCTTCTTTCTCTTGATATAATGTTTCAGAAGTCAATATGCCATTCATTTAGTTTTCTGAAGTAGAAGCATGTGTTTGGTGTTGGATTTCTGCACTACAAGAGCAGTGTTTCCCTCGTTTACAGTTTCTCTGTTTCAATTCCTTTTTTTTGTCAGTGTGTTAGGTGGAAACCAGAGTGGGTGGTGCCACATCGACTTTTACGGAAGAGATTATTGATGTCCCAAAAGCAGCGTTCTGAGTATATTCATAAGGGAGGCATTGAAATCTCTGATTGCTATTATGAGTGGTTTGTAAAATGGGCTGGTCTTGGTTATGAGCATGCTACTTGGGAGTTGGAGAATGAACCATTTCTGAAAACACATGAAGCTATGGCACTCATAGGAAACTATCATATGCGTCGCAAGAAGGCAAAAAGAGCATCTGATCCTTCAAGAACAGATGAGGTACTCCTGAGTCCTGAGACATGGTTACAATTGAAAACTAGTATTTGTTTCTTGTAGCTATGCCATTACCTCACATGTTTATGCATTCATTAGTGTCTGCGTAGGTTTTGTGGTAAGACCAAGGTTTAAAATGTTGGTATTGGTGGAAATGTCGGCCGTCCAAATATAAGAAACATGTCGGAAATATCAGAAATATCGTATGAAAATTTTATAAAATTATAGAAATGGTGAAAACATTGTACAATATGCAAAACGTAGAATGATATTCTATGAAATGATAAAAGAAGCATAGGCATGCCTTTTTAAATTATTTTCTTGTTCCAAATCACTAAACAAAGCTAAGAAACTAAGGTTATAGAAAAAAGAATATGTTTTGGCGTTGCCCTGTAAACCTTAAGATTGAAAGCTTCGTGATAGAATGAGTTAAAATAAAATTTAGACTCATAGAAAATGTAAATGGCTGTAATAGATCAACCAAATAATTGATTATACAACCGAGCCATAACCCAGTTGAGGTAGATCTACCTCTTTGGGTGTAAATTCTGGGAAGCTACTTGGTGGAGTGGAGGTCTGTCCCAAGTTAGAAGAGCTGGTACTGTTACCCTTAGAAACACAATTTGCAACATTTGGGCTGGCTATATAACCTAAGTTTCGGTTAGGACCTTCGTTTGGATTCTTGTCCTTTCTCAAGGCTGCCGGTTTTAAGTGAGTATGAAGAATCCAACAAGTATCTTTAGGCTATGTTTGGTTTGAAGGAAAATGTAGTGAAAGGAAGGGAAAGGTAGGGAAACCTTTACAAACCTTGTATTGATTTCCCTGTCTTTCCTTTCCCTACCTTTTGCTTCAAATCGAACATAGCCTTAATGTGCTTCTCTTCTTCACAATGTGAATACTTAAAGTTCTTCTTATCCACCCCTTTTCCACCCTTAGAGCTGCTGGAAACAAGAGCAGACTGCTCACTAGGTTGAAAATAAACATGAATTCTCATATCTTTCCTCCTCATCTCCTCATTCCTAATTAGGTAAAACACATGATGCAGGTATGGAAATTCATCTCTCCCTAAGATTTGTGCTCTAATGTTTTCATATGAGCGGTCTAAACCAGCCAGGAACTTGATTATTCTTCCTTCATTTTTTTTTGTCATGCCTTTCTTTGTCTTTGGTGCTGTCCCATTTAAAGACTAAGGCCCCATTTGGTTCGTGGGAATAGGGTCTGGAGTCGGAATCGGAATGGGCTATTCCGATTCCAACTGTTTGGTTCGGTGGAATCAGAATCCCATTCCCATTCCTGCTGGAATGGCATTCCCCCATTTGAGGGAATGACTATTCCCTGCCCCTCCCTTAGGAATGAAATCTCATTCCTGTTGATTTCAATTCCCATTTCCATTCCTGTCTGAACCAAACAGAGTATGGGAATGGACCATTCCGATTCCGATTCCGGAGGATTTCGATTTCGATTCCAATTCCGATTCCGACTACGAACCAAACAGACCCTAAATGATGATCAAGCTCTTCCCATATGTCTTCAGTGTAGCAAAGTAAGTTGCAACAGTCATGTTGTCCCCTTGAGTCTTACTTGAATGTCTTGGTTCAGCCTATAAATCCTTGCTATGTTCTTTTGACTCAAGTGTTGTGTAGTTTTCTCAAATCTTGTGGGCTGTAGTATAGTGCTGAACAGCCCATGCGGTTTTGGGAGTCATAGAAGTTAGCAACCATGACATCGCAGTTGCATTTTCCCTATACCAAGTCTTATAACCTGGTTCCTCTTCCTTGGGCTCCTTAATCTTCCCATATGACTTACTTTGGACCATCTTGCTGAAATGACTCATTCCCTATAATTGTATTCATCTAGTTTTACATTGGTAATTTGTATCATAGGATTTTCAATATGAATAACATTATCCACAGTCCTGGAACCTCAAGATGAGACTTCACTTGTGTTGGAAGACATCTTGAACTCACACAAACTAATATTTAGCAGGTAGAACAGGTCAAACAGCATCTCCCTTTGCTCGAACTCTAGATATAACCTGGATTAGAGCCCACAAGGATCCTCTAGACTGACACTTCTTGCAGTGCAGTGGCTTGACCTGTTAAATAGGTCTCTCTAGTAGTCCATACGACTACTCCACAGCTTCTTGCCCTACCTGGGTATACCAGCAACTATTCTGGGCTTCCTTGCAGATTCTCACAAGGAAAGAAACCTAGAAACAACTTCAACTAACCACGACCAGCAGTAGGGTTCTTTCTTGTTACTCCAACAACAAACTTAAGAAGAAGAGAGAAAAGGTGAATGCAAGAGTAGGCGAGCAGAATAAGAGCAGGTTATTGCTCTGATACCATATTAGTATTCAGATTCTTGAAGAAAAGAAGAAAAACAGAGAAAGGAGAGATAGGGAATAGGACGGCACACTCTAACCAGCCCATTAAAAATGGTATTTATATTAGGGAAACAATAATAAATGAGATGACAACTTTACCCCCGCTAGTAAACAGTAATGGGCTGAAGCCCATTAGCACTTAATAACAGTACAGCCCAACAGAATAGAGTATATTATAACATAAATGGGCCGAAGCCAATACTGTTAAGTCCCACAACACATAGGACCAAGGCTAGAATACTGGTGTAGTGTTTATATTTGGATTTTTTTCTTGGTCCATGAACTCATTTCATTGAAAGAGCTTTATAAAATTGTTTTTCTTTTTCCTATTCATCAAAGAAAAGAGAATAAATTGAATTGCTGTTCCTAATCTGAAACTGTAGAAATCAATGTATTTTGAAATAGGCTAGTTGCAATTATACTGTGTTGAAGATTAATCAGTTTTGTGTTATTTTAACAGTAGCTGTTTTATGTCAATTGTTAGATAGGAAGTGGGGACCAAAGAAGTTATGTGAGTCCAAATTTTATTAGTTTTTAGAGTCATTTATGTGTCTTTTAATGTTTTGCCACCCTATAAGGGCATAGTAGTCTTTGTACTTCTCTTATAATTCTAATATAAATATTAACTGAAGGGGGCGGCCAGATCATTGCTCTCTTTTCTTTCTCAAGTTCTCTTCTTCTCTTCTTCTCTCTCCCTTCTCTCTTCAAGAAAACAGTCTTTTCTTTCATATTATTTAATTCAGCAGATTTCTACTTGGTATCAGAGCCTCGACTAGGGTTCTTGAAGCTTTCTCATGCAGCCCTAGACCAGCTGACTACATGAAGTAATAAAGGGCTGATCGATCTGCTATAGATTGCAAAGTTCTTGGATTTTTTGGTGGGATCTAGTCATCAGGAAGGTGATCTACATTTTGGCATCAAAATCAGGAAGAACTGGAGTACATGATGAGTCCTAGAAAAGTTGGACTCTTGGTTTTTTATCTAATCTTGGGTGCTCAGGTATCATTAGATTTCTTTTGTTTTTCTTTAGGGGTGGTTAGGTTTCTGGAGTTTTCTGGGCCTCCTGGAGTGGCCGATTCACACTTCTCTCTGTTGGGAGACGCTGGGAGGAGAGAGATTTCTCTCCGGATAAGTTTTTTCTTCTTCCAGAAGGGTTTTTTCCTTTGTGTGTGAGTCTGAATTGTTCTTGGAGGCTCTCAACCTCTTCCTTTCTTACTATTGAACTGTTTGAAGATGGAGAGTTGGAGTACTGAGATGAAATCCACCGGTACTATGGGATTGGGCGTTGGAGGTAGTGGTGATATTTTTGGGTCTGGAATCATTACTACAGTAAAGCTTGATGGTACAAACTACTTAGAATGGGCACAATTTGCTAAGATGGCCATTGGTGCTTGTGGAAAATTAGGGTTAATCACTGGGGAGGAGAAGAAACTTGATATAGATTCTTCTTGATGGGTACAGGAGAATTACATGGTAATGTTTTGGTTGTGTAATTCTATGTTACGTCACATTGGCAAAAATTTTCTATGGGCTAATATTGCAAAGGAGATTTGGGATGGAGTGACTGAAACCTATTCTCAGAAGCAGAATGTAGCCAGAGCCTATCAATTAAGGAATCAGGTGATTAGTATAAAACAAGGAGATTAACCTCTTGCCGTGTATTTCTCCATGCTGAAAACCCTTTGGCAGGAGATAGATCACTTAGAAACTATGGTGTGGGAAAGTGTAAATAATGCAACAACCTATCAAAAATTGGTAGAGAAAAATAAGGTTTTTGAGTTCTTGGCAGGACTAAACCCTGAATTTGACATTGGTAGGCAGCATATCCTTTCTAGGGAGAGTGTGACACTTTCTCAAGCCTATGCCTTTGTTTCTGGAGAGGAGAGCAGGAGGAATGTCATGATGAGACAGCTTGAGATTGATCGATCTACTATGGTTAGTACAACCAAACCTAAGCTGAATGGAGACGGGGGAAGCAATGAGACTAGGAGGGAGGATAAGAAGGACTTGGTGTGTGATTATTGTAAGAAGCCTAAGCATACCAGAGACACTTGTTCGAAGCTCCATTCACATCTCATGCCTGCTCGGATCAAGAACAATAAGGGAAATGCAAATGTGGCCACTACAGGAGACTCTTCATCCCCACTTTTCCAAACTGATTGGGAATCCATTGCAGTAGCAGCAGTTAGAACAAAATTGGAGAGGTTTGGACGGCTTATGAGTAAGAAAGATACAACTAGTTCTAGCCTTTCAAATGGACAACAGAGTGCAAGAGCCAACTACACCACTTCTTTTGCTCATACAGGTAGTTCATATGCAATTGCAAATCTTGCATTTGAGCACATGACTAATGTACCTACCCTTTTTCAGTTCTTATTAGTTGTGCTCTGGTAGAGAGAGAGAGTCTCTACAGTAGATGGTTCACATATTCCCATTGCTGGGAAGGGGACAGTTAGAGTGACCAATGACATTACTTATCTTTTGTCTTACATGTCTCTAAACTGCATACTAACCTAATTTCTATTAGTTCTTTAACAAAAAATTTGAATTGTTCAATGACCTTCATTCCTAGTAATTGTGTTTTGTAGGATCTGGAGTCAAAGAAGATGATTGGGAGTGG